GTGGCTATATAGTGGCCAATTCCTATACAGCAGGTTCTCTGCATTTGCTCCTTCATGTGTGCTCCTTCATCTACTAGAGGACCAATGCTCCCTTCTCTTATATCATGGGTCCTCAAACTATGGCCCACGGGATGAATCTGGCTCACCATGGCCATCCATCTGGCCCGCGCCACCATTTGCTGCCCATGCGCACGCTTGCTGCACGGGCAGGAAGGCGGTGGCTTGTTCCCTTGAGATGGTCTCCGAGTGAGCAAGCCGCTGCGACCTGCCTCCCACACGCGCGTGCTCACCGCTGTCTCGCAGCGTGGGTGGGGAGGTGGTGGCTTGCTCATTCAGAGGTGGTTTTGGACTCGCTGGGAGATCTCTGAGCGAGCGAGTCACCGCCCCACGCGCCCGATGCTGCCTCACGTGCACCTGACAGCACTTCATCAGCCTGTGCCCCCAGGCACCCCCACCTGACCGGCCTGCGACAGTCACGACAGTCACCACAGCCTTTCAGTTGGCCCCCTCTTGAGGACCGTTGCCTTATACTGTTGCCTTTGAAAATCTGAGCCCTTGTCCCATCTCAGACCACTACCTGCCTCTAGCTCTTATGACCTCTAGCTGCTACGCTGAGGAAATTTTCATCCTGCTCAGCTGGGAACTGAGCAGAGAACTAGGATCACCACTGGATTGCCCAGAATATTCTCAAATGCTTTAAAGACAAGAAACAAAGGAAGGCAAGGCTCCCAGTTTCCATGATTGTATAGAACTGCTAACTTTCCGTGAATGAGCTGTAGCTACCAGAATTCCTAGTTGAATCAGCTATTCAAGGATTGGAGCCCTTTTCTCCTTTGCCTACAGTAGCCACTGTATGAAATCCAGCATGAAACATTTAATGCAATGGGATCATCTACTTTCATTGAACCTCCCCTTCCTGTGATTCCCTCAATGCAGTGTTAAAGCTCAGCCATACCACAGCTGCCGCCTCAAAACCAACTTCAAAGGTAGTACAACTGAGAACGAAGTACGCTAAAGAAATGATCTTTTTAAAAAGAAAAATCAAAAGGAACAAAAACGATGTAGCCTAACAAATCTGGTGAAACATGTGCTGCAATGTGATGATCCAAATGCAGAGATGGGGCAACAAGCCTGTAGAGACTGTGGCTGAGGCCCCGTCAGTGCGGGTGTTCAAGGATAGGCTAGCCATGTACATGGTGGGCATGTCGTGAGTGGAGCTGGCTGGAGCCGGGGGTCAGACTAGATGGCCCGGGAGACCCCTTTTGACTTGCCGTGTTTCTATGTTTCTATGCATCCCTGTGATCAGGGAGACTATACAACAGTGAACACCTATATTCCATTCATAACAACATATGATGCTGTCTTACTCCAGGTCACACCATCATCCCATCTAGCCCTGTATTACACAGGCTAGGCATAACACCAGCTCTTCCAGCTTTGAAACAGGAATCTTGTTTATCTCTTACCTGGACAACCTAGGAATTAAACCCTGGCTTGCATGCAAAACATGTGCTCTATAACTGAAGTACATCAGCCGAGGACATACTTCAAAATGAACACCAATATAAAATGGTTGCTACAGCAACCTTGTGACTGTCAGAAGTCAAGGAATCCCTCCCCCCTCCAAAAAATAAAATACAAGGCGGAGATTATTCCCAATAAACGGTTCTGGAAAAACTAAGTATTTGGCCTGAATAGGAACAAAGTGAGACAAACACAAACACAAACCCCATACACAACTGAAGAACTCAGGCGAGCCTCCTTGAATCACAACTCCTCCCCAGGATGCACACATGGAGACCCATAAAATGCATAAGAAACGCACATGATGCACTACCAGAAAGACAAACGGCAGAAGGCTTATGCTGCATTCACATTATCCCCTTCAGGATGTCCTTCAGCAACAGCATTTAGAAACATGGATTACTGTATAAGCCTTAGATGCTCTTAAAGTAAACCTGGGTACAGGACAGTGAGAAAAGTGACATGTACATCTCCTTTTAACTGAAATATCAGTGTGCCCTCAGGTATTATTGAACTCTAGGAAGACTGTTCTTGTCAGGCCTGGGCAATTCCTAGACATCCAGAGTTTTGGCCAGCATGTTATAGTGGTTAAGAGCATGGGACTGGGACTCAGACCATCTGGGTTCTAGTCCCCGCTCAGCCATGGAGCCAACTGGGTGACTTTGGGCCAGTCACAGACTCTCAGCCCAACCTACCTGACGGGGTTGTTGTTGTGGGGACAGGATGGAGGAGGAGAATGATGTAAGCTGCCTTGAGCCCTTTGAGGAAAAAGGCAGGATATAAATTGAAAAATAAATAAATAAAATAAACTCCCATCATTCCTTATTGACTATGTTGTTTACTGCTGCTAGGAGCTGTAGGCCAAATTATTTGAAGATGCCAGAAGAACCATCACTATGGTGCCAGATCAAACTGGAGGAATAGAATCAAATCAGGTCAACATAAGTTGATGATCAATAAACATATTATGGTTTTTACATTAGCTGCTCAGCCAAAGACAAGGAATTAAATCCCAGCAATTGCAGCTGGTCATCTTAAATCTAATAGCCATCCTCAAATACACACCCAAGAGGATGGTGTTGTTGCTCCCATAATACAAGAACTTCTGTCTGATTGATTAATTAGTTTTTAACTATCTTATAAGTCCTGCATTCATTTGAATACATACATTTAAATGGTTTTTGAATAAAAATAAATAAATCCATCCCTCATTAGCACTACATCACTGAGAGCATGAAAACAAATGTTTTCTGTGCAACTTAACAAGGTATTTTATTTGGAGGAATGTACCATTTAATCTATTTTTAGAGTGTCAGCCTCCTTTTGTTTCCCTGTTAACATCCTCTTCATTTTAAAACCCATTAGTGACAAATCTTTAATTGCCTAATTGTCTTTAAAAGTGTATTAGATTGGATTGTAGCAGGCATTTCTGGATTGCTGACATTTACTTATTGCTTCAGAATGGGGTGGGGGGAAGCCCAGTGCATCGGAGACAATGACATTCATTCCAAAAACAATGACTTTTAATAGTTATGTTTATTTCAGTTATGATTAGGGCAGGCAACTCTTTTCCCTGCTCACTGGCCTTTGAATAGCATCCAGACACAGGCAAACTGGGCGGTTTTCTTCTCCCTTCACATCCGTGTCAAAACAAGTTCTGCCTTTCATATTTCTGCATATCATTCGGCTGGGAATGGCACAGGCCAGTCAAAAGCCTGAGGGTAGGTCTCAAAGAAAGGCAGAGGTGGGCATCACACCCATGCAGGGACCCATTGACGAGTGCCTCTGGATTTGTCAACCTGTTTCATTACTGACAACATGAATGCCTACACACCCACTTCCTCCTTTCTCTGGCTCAGGCAATGGAGCTGGTGAGAAGAATGAGCAGGAGGTACTCAAACTGCTTGCTCACAAGCAAATGGTAGCGATGATGAGAAGGACAATGTGGGACAAGAGTAGCTGCTGACTGTGGCAGTGGGAAGGTGGACTCAGTGATGGAGAGGCCCCAAACCTGGTACCAGGACCCACACAAGGGTGGTAACTCAAGACTATATCACATGTGCTTTCTGTAGAAGGCCCTGGAATCTCCTGTTTAAAGTACAGGAGAAGTATCAGGCAGCAGGTAATGATAGAAAGTCCTGCATGTGACCCTGGGGAGCCACTGCTGGACGAAGTGATAAGCTAATGCTGCCAGCCCTTTGTCTTGAAGTTGTAACTCTAATCCTCTTGGAGAAGAATGGAAAACCTATCCAGTGCATCCTCTCCTCCAAAAGGTCACAATGGGTTGGATTCATGACTAGTCTGACCCATTGATTTCAGTGAGTCTACTATAAGTATAACTTAGGTTGCAATCCTGTGCAAACTTAACTGAGAATAAAACCACCATACTCAAACATTTATTATGCATTTTTATCCTTGAGTTCCTTTCAAGGAACTCAAGGTGGCGCACATCCTCTTCCTCTAAATCTTATCCTTACAACAGCAACAACTCCGTTGGGTAGGTTGGGCTGAGAGTCTGTGAGTGGTCCAAGTTGCCCTGTGCGCTCCATGCCTGAGTGGGGACTAGAACCCAGGTCACCCATGTCCCAATCCTATGCTCTTCACCACTACCTTGCACTGGCTTTCTACCAGAGACCTAAGGGGTACACATGGGCAGATATGCATACGATTGCACAGTTGCCTGGCTCTTATCCAACATATAGTTCCTGCTCTTGAGTAAATAGCTTTTTTATATAGTAAATGAGCAGCGATCTCTTTATAAATACTAATTTATTTCATAAAAATACAAAAATAGAACTATACATATATAAAAATATCATGAATCAGCACAGATACATTCTTTTACTCAATAAATATGGCAGTAATATTCATTCTTATTTTTAAGGTCTACTCAGATATTACATTATAAGATGGGTATGTTATAAGATCATCCCAAATAGCAGTAGGAAAAGTGAAGCAAAGTGTTCCTTAGAAAAGTTAAACTTCCCAATGATTAAAGGCACAAAAAGCCTTTTTAGGTATCTTTTCGGTAAGTGCTGAAGATCTTCCTTCCATCATCTTAGGCAGAGAGGCTGACAGACAGTTTTGTTTATTTTTGTTTTTGTCTTAAAAAAATACTAAGCTTTTTCATTCACATTGACTTGTTAAGATAACCCTTACTAAGACAAACACCTATTTTTGTATTTTTCCAAGTAAGAGAATTTAGGCCACTTTATCTACTAGTTACAGAGGCATTGATCCCATTATCACCGACCAAATCATTAAGTGCTATTCTCAACCTACAATCCAGTGCCCCACGGTCTCCAAGGTAAGGTGGAACTCCTCCCAGGCAGGAGTGCCTCTACTCATTCCCTACCATTTCAAGAAATGCTCAGCACATGTATTGGGGTTGTATGCACAGACCCACTGAAAAGAATGGGGCTGCCCCTATTCATGAGGAACTCTTTATCTGCAGTGGAGCCACTGGGATGTGGGTGTCAGTCTTGGTCACTCTCATCTCCACCATACATATCTGCTAGCTTTTTAAACCGAGGTCCCCAGTCACTGAGGTAATCATAATCTTGGTTGCCACCATCTGTAGTAAGTGATTCCAAAGAGCTAAGTGAATTTGCTATAGAATCATTCCCTTCATATGCATACGTTGCTAACGAATCATAAGGAGGTGCAGTTGGATCCAAATCATTTTCCTTAAGCCTCCTATGGATAAAATCTTGGACATCAATATTTTCCCACAGAGGTGCAGTTCTCCTGATCTGGAAAATTGCTTCTGGCATCACATCTCTTCTCATTTTGCTTTCTTCTCTGGCTTCTGGATTTCTTAGTGTGCCAATATCAAAGGCTTGGGTATCTTCTTCCCCACCCCCTTCATCATTGTAGGTCACAATATTGTCCCGGACATCATCCTTTGAAATTATCAAGGGTTCTTTCTTCCTCTGACGCTTCATTGCAGCAAACAGGACAACTAAAACTGGAAGCAAACAAGCGATGATGATGAGGAGTTGACACATATAGAGGAATGTTGAGAAGTTCATTAAAAGCAGAAGGGAACATTTCAGATAAAGTTGGTGCTTTCAACCCTCGCTAATAACAACTGAGAAGACTAAAAAGAAAAAGCTGCACTCTTCCGTTTAAATGAATGGCACCTGCGGATGCAAACGTATGTGCACTTACTGAGAGTATTCTCATTGAACTAAATTGAATTACTTCTGAGTATCCACGCATACTGGGTTACTAAGGGTCATGACTCTAGGGCAGAAGTGAAGTCTTTCAGCTCAAGGGCCAGGACCAGAGATAGTTTTGGGGGATTCATTCAAATGGTGGACAGGGCAAACGATCCCACAGAACCAGAACCAGAACCAGAACCAGTATATTTTAAGTTAAAGGTCTTACTGTCAGGATAATGCCTTAGGAGATGTTAGGATCACATCTCTCCCTGACAACCCTGTTTTCCCCCTGCAGTGGACATACATGAAACTTTAGAAGCACTGCATGACAAGTTTACAAGCAGCATAAATCAAAGTTAAGCAGCAATGCATCATGTGCTATCATACTTAATGACAGATACTTAACTGTTCGATCTTTAGAGAATGTGCCATTGCATTAGGAAATACAGCTTCTTCTCTGAATTCAGTGTTTGAACCCTTATGAACTTGTAAAATCTCCCCATAAATTTAATCACCAAAGGAGGTGATACAATATGCCAGTATGTTCTTTTTGCTTCCGGCTCAAGTACAGCTAATATAATTTTGTGAGTTGGTAATTGCAGCCCCCATCCTTCCAGCCAAACAACTTTCTATTTAGTTCTTTATTTTATATACCACCCTATAGCTGAAGTCCTCTGGGTAGTTAACAAAAATTTGAACTATGGAAGTTTTACTAATGTTAAAATCATCATAATTATGTTCTGTTCAACAACTTTTAATGGCATTTTTGAACTTTTTAAACTATCCCTCTCCCTCTTCTAATTACTTTAAAATATAATGAAATCTGTTGTATTAAGAACAACAGCTGGAGCATTGCTTTCAATGTTTAGGTCAACAATTGAGCTGCTTCACCAAAGGCTTTCAGAGTCATAGACTCTGGTTCCTTGCCTTCTTTTTTTTTTTTAATTTATTAGTCCCTCAAGTCTGATAAAGTGATTCCTCTAATTCTGACATGAACTAGCCTAATCAGCTTATTCTGGATTAATGTATGATCAGAACTTCATAATCTGCTGGGGTTTACACTTTTCTAGTTAGTGGGATGTTGCTGCTGTGCTCCAAACAGAAGTTGCCAAGATGTAAGTGCTGTTGTTCATAAGAGTGATGATGGGATAATAATTTGAGCAATACCATAAGTGCCATCCTCCCAGTGATATGATACACCTGGCACAATAGTGATGCATTGGTCCATGTGCCAAGTAAATCCTTTCCCATGAGATGAATTGGCTTTGGGATGCATCCAAAGCAGTGTAGCACTATTGATAATGATGCTGTGTTAGCACAAACCAGAGATAGCACAACATAATTGGCACCTGCATTGCATCTCTATCAGATACGACCCTCTGAGCTCTTGCAACCTCCTGTGAGGTTATGTACTGGCCATAAACTACTTAGGTCAGGCCTGATGCCACTTGCAAGTTCAGCATGTGGCCAAGCTTTCTCTCTACTGAGATGCTACAATTAGGGATGTGACAAATATGGGCAACCGAATTAGGGATGACCGAATTACTGAGATTCTCCAAACTCCATTCAGAAGTTTGTTTCATCTTGCTCCCATTTTCATCTGTAATCTGCTTTCTTGTCATTTGAATGGGGAAAAGTGCACATTTCAGCACATTTCTTTTCAAAATTGTGTACTTTTTCATTGATAAAAAGTACATTGATAAATAACATAAAAAGCATATCTTTTGAAAAAATGCATTTTAAAGTGCTTGTTAAAAATGTGTATATTACTGAAATTATTTTTCCACCAGAATAAAAATAATAAAATAAAATAAAACAAGTGTTCCTCTTCATATCTGGGATTTGAAGAGGACACATAATGTTCATCTGTGAACTGAATTGAAATGATCATTCTTCTTCAGCCATGACAGAGCTTCTGCAGGTTCCCACATAGTCGAGAGGCAGAGAAGCAGGCCAAAAAGAAACAGGTCCTTCACAGACATCTTGGAACACCTGTGCTCCTATTCTTATGCTCTGACTTTAGAGTAAACTGGGGAAAAAACAGCTGGTGCATATTTAAAATAAACTTTGCTTTGGCTCCAAAGACTGCAAGACTTAAAGTATTTGACAACTTGATGGATCACCTATCGATCCATCAATGCTAAGAAGATGACTTCCAGTTCAAATGCACTGTGACATTTAAATACTTTCAGCTGTAAAGCAGGGAAGGAGGGATGTATTACTTACCCAGTAGAATGATGACACAGAGCAGGATCGCAATGAGTGCCCCTGTGCTGAGTCCCGCTGGAAGGAGCAAGGCTTCAGCATTGCAGGACTGCATGTTTCCCCGGCTGTCACAAGCACACACCCTGATGGTCAGTGTCCCTGTGCTACTTTGGATGGGGTAGTCGTTGTCAAAGATTACCACTGGCAGGAGATAAGTGTTCATTTTATTGCGGTTATATCCATTCCTTCTTGTTATAACTCCTGCTGTGTTATCTGAACCAGAACAAGAGAAAAAGAACATTACATTAATTATGTACTCCTATGGCTGTATAGATAGGGGAAGAAAAGACCTACAGCTCCTAGCATGCTCAAAACAGCATGGGGGTTATAGGCCTTTTTCAATGCCTACATAGACTTTGGATTGCACCTTAAGAGGTTTTTGGAAAAGAGAAAAAGAGGCCCTGGAGTTTATAATTAGAGCCTACCTTTGTTGTCCACAACAGAGAAGTTTGGATGGACTGTGTATTCTGGGACCAGCTCAAAAAAGAATTTGTGTCCACGAGGAGGCTCATCCTTGTCAACTGCACTAATGGTTTGTATAAGCTGCCAAGAAGGAGAGAAAAATGCTGTCAGCAACATGAAATAATCTTTTCATTCTGTAATACTTCTGTTCAGATAAATATCTAAAATGCCTTTTACTATGGTTGCACGGACTTAATATGGAGAGGGAATAAAGCACAACTCCCAACAGTTGTTGAAGGACTCTGTCAATTTAATGCCTTACTTAGCAGCTTTCCAACTTTGCACCAAAATACCTGGGAGTTGACTAGACGCCTATGAGGACTTTCTTAGAAGAGCTGGGCTACAATCCCTAAAAGACCAGCAATACTTAGCCATGTGAATCAGGTGGTACGTTGTAGAACACATTCTCAGTTCATGTGGAACAATGATGAGGACTAACATGCTGCCTGGATCCTGTGGGAACTGGGTATTTTCAACACCACTTGTGAAAAGGAGAGATGGAAAGCTTTTCTGCACAAGCCATTTATTGTGTTCTCACAATTCCTTATTCATAGATGCTTCTCTGGTACTTCCAGTTTTGCTCCTGCTCCTCCAGAGCTATGACATAATTCTACCTAGAGGTTGTGTAATAGACAAACTGAAAAAGAAGAGCTTTTTGTACAGAGCTTGTCTCTCAATGCTTGACAAAACCAAAGTGGATACAATGATTAATGATACAATAATTGCCTTGTGGAGAAAAGACCACAAAGACATAGGATATAAAAATAATACTCATACACACACACACACACACACACATATCTCAGGACCTGAAATGCATTGTCTTTCATTTCCATTTTTAATAATGTAAACTTGGTTAAGAAAAATATTAAGCCCCTGATCACATTGTCTTTTGTACCAAAAGATTCTCAGCCAATTAATCGTCTCCCAGACTAAATCAGACCACAATGTTCCATACCTATTCTTCACAGAGAAGTCTTTTCCATTCTTTTGCATCCTCAGCTGCCATCCCTGATTTCCCTTCTGCATCTGAACTGGGATGATCAGGACAGCACATGACATTTCGGGTCTAAGGACATTGCCATCGATTTATGTAACAATATATATATGGGAATCTACCCCTTAAATTTTCTTTGCCCAACTTTTTCACAAATGATAGAAATGTTTTAAATAGAAATGCATAGAAATGTTTTAATAAATAAATAAATAAATAAATAAATAAATAAATAAATAAAATGTTAATGATTTTGTCATTAAAAAGGCCTGTGTAGTGGATTAATGGCTCTATCTACATTTTCCATTCCTTCCCACTGAACACTTGGGGTGACTATGAGCCTGCTTAAGGCATGGAGATAACTATTCTTCCCCGAAGGTATCATGAAATTATCCTTTGTTATCATGAAATGGTATGGGTGGCCCTTGCAAATAAGTTTTGGAATGCCTCTTTAAGGCTGTCATGGGTAGGCTATTTAGAAAGGACACATTTTTATATTATTTTTATGCTACCTGATTTATTTCCTATGCTTGATCTTCATAAACCTTTGTCATTTTGAATTCAGGGCTGGATAGTATACTTTTTATTATTCTGGATGTTTCCCCCCTCAGTGTTTGACCACTCTTTAATTCTACTTGCTTTAACCAAAGGGAGGTGAGGTGGAAACAGCCTGATCACATGCACTGGTGTCTTTGAATCAGTCAGTAGCTGCCTTTCTTCCAGATGGTGACCCCCAGATCTTGGAGGTCTCCCTGCACAAGAGCTGTGTTTACCATGATGAGGCAGTAGTAAGAGAGAACTGATGCAGCCTGGTCTAACCTTTGAGATACCTGGGCACCTTCTTCCCAAGTCAGTAGGCAGTATATAATGAGGCACCCTGCTTACTCTTTTGTGAATAAAACTGTCCCTCCACCAGTTTTATTTCACAAGAGGGGCACAATGAACCTCTAACAGTTTCTACAGAACACCTCAAAGGAATGTAAATGTTCGTTTCTTGACAAGGACAAGTCAATGGAGCTCCCTGCTAATTTACCCCAGGGTAGAAATGAATATTTCCACTTGAAAGGCACTAAAACTACATATGGAGAGGCACAATGGTTTTTGATACTCTTTGACTTCATGGTCTCTGGTTTTATCTCATGGTTGGTAGTACAGTAGTGCTATTCACCATCTACTTTCCTCTCCAGGAATGAGGCAATTAAGTGACTGGAAAGCTGACAGTAATCAGGTGAATAACTGGCCCCCTCTTAGGAGTCTACATGGATGAAATTTAAGTTTTTATTAAGAGCAGGAAGGATTCACAGCAATGTTCAAAGGTCTACTCTGAAATATTCAAGATATTGAATATTTAGTCTGCTATGACAGACTAAAAAGAGTTAGTTGTTTATTAATTACATTTTTAATAAGTAGCCAACATTCAACAACCAAATTTATCCTGATTGTTTACAAGTCCATTCATACAAAATCCCAATAAAACCATAATAATAAAACAGCACAAATTATTTTTACTGATTTGCCTGGTCTGTGTCAGCACCTACCTCTGAGGTGTTTGTTGAGTCATTTCACAGACTTCCTTCTCTAAGACTGGCTTCAATTTTCACATGTGGGGGGAGAATATGCTAAGAAAATGTTTGCAAAATTGGATATTTTCCAAAAATCAGCATCACAGAAAGCTCTTTCTATCACAACCACATGCTTTTCAGGTGCCAGTGTATATTATTTTGGTCATTTTATACAAATTTGGTGTTTTTGGGTACCACTTTGAACAAGCACGCAAAATACTGTCATTTGTATGAACAGTAATTTTGAACAAATTTCGCAAATGGTACAAAATTGTAAGCTGGCAAATTGTAAGCTGTTCTGAGGCTTTTTTGTGATTAGGATGGCATATAAATATTTGAAATAAATAAATAAATAAATAAATAAATAAATAAATAAATAAATAAATAAATTTGTGCAACTTACCTTCCTTCCTTCCTTCCTAATTTACAAACCCTGGACCTCCTTAGAGGTGGAATTTAATGGCCCTCACCCCTACACTGGCCCAACTCAACCCCCTACACTGGTATCAACATTTGCTTAGATGGCAGAAGAATCTTTCGATGGGTGTTCAAAGTCACCAAGGTCACTGATACCTTTGAAAATGGATTTTAGAGCAACCCAAACTACCATCATTGCTATATCTCCAAACTGTAAGGTGATCAAAAACATTTTCCCCATTTCACTCTCCATAACAGTATCTTTTCCCCATTTTTTGTTTGTTTTTTGGTGTGTGTGTGTGTGTGTGTGTGACTATATCAGGCAAAGCAAAGGGAGTAGCAAGGAATGCGGTGTGCCACTCTGCCCTGCTTTAGGGGGAATGCAATCCTATTGAGAAGAGGGTGAATATTACTTACCTGGACAAATAACCCATGAGCAGTTATCTATCCTATCTGGATTAAATTGCAGTTTATTGGCCCTCCTGACCAAGCACTGTTTCAAAATGTGGTCTGTCTTGTCAGGACTTAACTAGATTATTTAAAAGTAGGCACAGTTAAGCTTCCTAAAATGGAGAACTCTATGTCTCCCAGCAAACTTAACTGTGTTAACTTTTAAATAACTACTTTATAATAACCAGGGAAACAAGTCAGTCAAATCCAATACAATTGAAGTGTTGATGGTGGGGAGGCTAATTCTCCCTCTTCTACTCTGCAGCAAATGGCACCACCAATCCTTAGTCCTGGAATGTGTTTAGCTTTCTCTGCCTTTATGTGCCACACTTAGCTGTTTTCTGTAAGACAAGAATAAAACCAAGAAGCATTTCCATGTGTCATCTAGACTTGCTTCAGGTTTTGCAGCCTGGCATCCTCCTTAGCAGTGCATAAATAATGGCCTTGCTCAGAGCTTCAGCAGGCATCACTTTAATAATCCTGAGCACTCTGTTCAGCAAGCTCAAGAGTGACCTTCTGAAATCTCCAACCACTTCTAATGCCTTACATTACAATTACAGCTACTCCACATGCAACACCAACTGTCAAGTAGGTTTCAAGTCCCTGCTCAAGTTTCAGCTGATGATGAAGCCGAATGCTCAGCTGGAACTGCAAGCAGTTTTTTAAAAAGGCAGGGCAGGGAGAGAATGCTATGTAGCACTCGCGGAAAAGTGATGGTTGGCAAACTCAAAAGACAAACCAGCCACTGCTTTCTCAGAAAAGCTGCTGACATGTGCCACAAAGAATAAGCATGGGAAACTGCAGGGGAAACAAGCCAGAAATGCACTGAAATATCTCTACTGCTCCTCTCCCTAACTACTTATCTATCACCCATCCATCCATCCATCCATCCATCTGCCAGTTTACACTCACACAAACTAGAGTGATTTGGATTGCAGAATCGGAGCAACCTTGGTTTCTAACAGTCAGAATCACCAGAAATAGCAAGGTGAGAAATTCATTTCAGTCCAATTTTGATAGGAATTTACCAACATGCATAGAGTTATCCACAGTGAAAGGAAAAATAACATGAGAATGAAAAAGGAGCTGAATTAACAGCTTTTTCTAATCAGACTCAAAGATCTCAATGCCCAGCTCTTGTTTATTCATGTTCATGCTATTGAATTCTGGTTGTCAATTTTCTCTCACTCTCTGAGAGGCTCCTCCAGCATGGCAGATAGGTAAATCATGGTTTCCTCATGCTGGGAATAAGGAATTTTGTTCATGCAAATGGGCAAGGATTTCAGGAACTGAAGTTCACTTGCTACATGAATTTACCAACATTCTAAAAGACCATATTCAGGAGAACAGGAACTTATGAAATTCAATTGTAGGTGATAGAAAAAATGACAGATTTGTCTAGCCTTAACAGATTTATCCTCAACTTATGTTTTTTCCACAAGACAGTAGCAACCATTCTTCAAAAGGAACGTTAACCCCAATCCCAACCCTAACTGCAAAGGAAAGAAAGAGCACATTAACCTCTGTTGCGTGCAATAGGGACCTTGTTCTAGTACCTACTGAGGTTCCTAGCACTTGAGCATGCTGAGACCAGGATCACCCATTTACATTTTCCTGAAGCACAGCTCCTTTCCCAGGGTCTGCCCCCTCTTATTTCT